GTCCGGAGAAGAAGCAATTGAATATTTAATGACAATTGATTATTTAATTTATATTTGAATTAGAGAATTTTCCTGAATTTGCGCCTGTATCATTTTGTGATTTTGTCGGCCCAGTTAGCAGAATCGTTGTATCTTCGGTCAACCTTGCTTGATGAAAAGAGGGTACGCACCCGGGATATGGCCGTGAACTGATTGTACGCAATGGAAGTCAACAGGGAGAGGCTGTTGTAGTCGACAAGTGGCCCCACTCTTTCGATGGCCGTTTCAGAAAAATTTCTCTTCCAAAATGGCAAGGATTTGCTCCAGTCGGCGGCAATCTACCTCTCATTGTTTGGCATTCGTTCCCTCCACCTCCGCACGGATAGCGTTACCCGCTGCCCCTTGCGTAACGAGCCATCTCGGCTGCCCGCCAAGCTCAGTTCTCCATTGTCACTCCAACCGGTCATGTCTTACACAACCCTTTTCCTCGACGTTTTCTCGTCTTGGACCTGACAAATCTTAACTGTTGGATATTAAAGGGAGGTAAGTTCGTGATTTAACCATTTACACTTTTTTTTCTTGGTCTTAAGATGAATCAAGATGCCATCTTAGACAGTACTCTGTATGGGTCTTACATTTCAACATCATAAACACTTTCATCAAATCTAAAACCTTAAAAAAATTAAGGACAACATTGATATTTTCAACCAAGTTCCATTTTTTGGTGGTTTATAATTAAAACTATTGACATTTAAACAAATCATCAATAAATTAAAGTAATTTTAGCATTTGTCAGATATATGCTTAAATATGCTGATTCAAAACACCTTGTTTTTTTGTGTTTCTTAGTGACCTGTTGTTTCATAATTTGTTGAAGTCGTGCGGAGCTGTCAAGAATGAGGTAGTTTAGAAAAACGCCTTTTCCATTTCTTTTGCTGTCGTTTCGACCTTTATTCGAGTCATCTTCTGGGTATGGGTAAATTACAATTGGGGGAAAGAAATACAATTTAAGATGTAAATATATTTTTTTCACAATCGACGTATGTTTTGTAATTTATCCAGGCCCTGAAGATGACCCGAAGAAAGGTCGAAACGACGGCAAAACAAATGAAAAAGGTGTTTTTCTAAACTGTCTCATTCTGGATCGTTCCTCACTTCTACAAATCTTGTTTTTTTTTGTTTTGTTGAAAGCATTTGTTCGCTACTTTCTCCCGTAACAGTTCTCGGCTAGTTGGATCAAACCTTCAGGACCTTTTTTTAAATGATGTGATTTCTTTTTGAGTCCTGTTTTTGAATTTTCTGGCAAAATGGGACAGTCCTTAGCAAGATTGGGAATGAGTCGGTCTTCAAGGAAATTTGAGATCACCTGTAAAAATTTGTCAATCTGTAGACATATTTAAGTTGTTTTACCCTGATGACCTTAAAATAGGTCGAAAGCTTGGCTGTAGCAACTAAATTTGCTTTCTTCTTCACGACCATACCTTGATCCAGAGTGTTCGCAAATGGGACATGCCTGAACAGCGAGGATTGGCGGACCGGGGTGATCGTTGACCAAACTCAGGTTATCTTCCTTAAGACCTTTTTAACTTAACTAATAAAATTAACTTAAAGTTTGGCATTGGCAATGTCGAAACTAGACAGACTATATGAGCAGGCCGGGATGATCGAAAACGGCCAAATAGATAATTTTGACAGGTTCATTTTTGGTTTATCTGTTTCTAAGCAGCGGATTGCATTTGGTCATAAACCGTAACTAATTCATAAACGGGAAATGTGACTCGCCCGGAGCATCCGAATACTAACGGCGTCCAGATCTTCATCAGCTGACTTCAGCATTAACATATTTTCTTTAACAATCGAGCCGTTTTACTTCGTCCAATCCTTTCTTTTTTCTCGTAATAGAGGATTGGAAAGTCTATTCAGGCATGAGACCGTTGAATTGAAACAAATCCGGACAACCACCCACCCTTCATAGATGCTGGTCGGACCTTGCGGTCTCGTGAACAGTTTAGCTCTGACCCACATAGCCGCTGACCTCGGTAAATGTTTGTTTCTGCTTGAAAACACATTCTGGATTCTGAAACTAACGTAAAACTTAAATATAAACCGGTAAAAGTCAGTAGGATCGGTGTCGATAATAGTCTAACGGTATCTTGTACCAAGTCAGAGTTGTTTTTCAAACCTACACTCTAAATATTTTATTATTGATCTTCGTATTCTTCATCATAATCTGCATTCTCGTCTCTGAGGTTTTCAATTTTTTTACCCTTCCTACACATCCATTCGTATGCTAAATCAATCAATTTTAGTACTATGTTCACTTTTGTTGGGTAAATGTAAATTCTCTGTTCTAGCTTTTGCTGTTAAATGCTTTTTTATTGCTTTAAGGGTGACCGTCTCGTCTTAAGATCCTCCAATTCGTTTACTAATCGTTATTTATTTATAATTTTTTATGTAAATTAACTTGGCGATTGGTCTTGATTCCGGACGAAGATAGTCGGGGAAGATCCAAGGCTATTGGAAAGCAGACCGGGACCCCACGGTGAAAAACCAGATCCAATTTTCATATTACCGTGCCAAAGAACAATAGGAAAGGCAGTAAAGTTTCACACGGGGCAATTTCAAAGTATAGAGACTGGAGAAAAGTTGGTTTTAATTTTCCAATTAATTTTCATGGACAATTAGTCTCGTTATCTCCCCTGGGCCACTTTTTTTCTTTCCCGGGCAATTTAAGAGCAAACTTCACACCTTTGGTCGTATTATAATCGATTTAATTGGTAAAAATAAAGTTAATAGAAAGGAAGATCAAGATAGCATTAATGACCTGGCCTACACAAACTTTGATTAACTCGTTAAATTAAAGACCAATCTCTTACATTGTGTTCAGTTTTCTGCGTTTTTTTTTTGATAAAATCTATCCAATTTTTTTCTCTCCGATTTGAACTAAATGAAAAATTTGAAGCGTTAATGAAATATTGTGCTGATGATGTAGTCACTGAAGACTTATTTTATCCTCTTTTAACTTTCATAGAACATAATTATTTATTTTTCTTTCATTTTGTACTGTTACATAAATTAACTGAGCGAATTGGCTAGTACTACCTGTTTTGTTAATAATTTATTATTTTTAACATATAGCTCGAGTGATTTGAAAATTGCAGCACCTTATGTCAAGAACATTGAAGATAGTTTTTTTAAAAGTTAAATAATTCAATATTAGAGTCCAGTCATTTAAGCAATGCAAGGCTTCTTGAAGAATATGACAGTCATCAACAGATTTTATCATTTTAAAATTTTTGCAATCGTCAGAAAACAGGATAATTAATGAATGTATTAAACAATAGGGGAGCAAGGAGAGCGCCTTGTGATACGCCATATGTCTCAGTCTTAGGTTTGGATGTAACAAAAATTAACTATTTATTTTTCTTTTGTCTTGTACTGTTATGTAAATTAACTTAGCGAATTGGCTCGTACTACCTGTTTTGTTAATAGTTTTAACATGTAGCTGGAGTTGTTTGAAGTTTGCTTGTTCAAGTTCAAGAACAATGAAGAGCGTTTTTTAAGATTTGAATAATTCATTATTAACTAGAGGCTATCATTTAAACAATGCAAGAATATGGCAATCATCAACAGATTTTATCATTTTAAAAGTTTTGCAATCGTCAGAAAACAGGATCATTAATGAAAATATTAAATAATAGTGGAGCAAGGAGAGCGCCTTGTGATACGCCATATGTCTCAGTCGTAGGTTTGGATGTAACAAAAATTAACTATTTATTTTTCTTTTGTTTTGTACTGTTATGTAAATTAACTTAACGAATTGGCTCGTACTACCTGTTTTGTTAATAGTTTTAACATGTAGCTGGAGTTGTTTGAAGTTTGCTTGTTCAAGTTCAAGAACAATGAAGAGCATTTTTTAAGATTTGAGTAATTCATTAGTAATTAGAGACCACCAAGCAATGCAAGAATATTTTATCATTTTAAAAACAGGATCATTAATGAATGTATTAAACAATAGGGGAGCAAGGTGAGCTCCTTGTGATACGCCTTATATCTCAGACATAGATTTGGATGTAATTTCCTTAATTTTATTAACTGAGTGCGATCCGTAAAGTATGAAGAGAACGCTTTTATAAAAGGAAATGGGACGGCTAATTTAATAAATTTATTAATTAAAAATTATTGATTGTCTTGAGAGAATAAGTGTGAAAGATTGAAGTTTGAAGATTCGTCCATTTATAAAAATCATGCACATTTAAGCCTTTTTTGACGTCGCTATTGGCTCAATCATGAGCATAGTTGTTCTGTGCACATTATTGAATTTATCTTACTTTTTAAAATATAAAAAATTGCAAATGAAGTTGCAAGTAAGTAAACTTTGTTCAGCGTTTTCCATTAAAACAATTCATTAAGCAGCAAATTTATGGTTTATATTTAACGCTTCATCCCGCTTTAATTTGTTATAAATAAATTTAAATTGTAAAACGTGAGAATTCACCGTTTACAATTTGATTAATGGCTGTAAAGTCTCACCTAAGTAATTTACAAATAAATGATCAATGTAACTCTCATAAAAATGGCAGTATTAATAAATAATGGTCGATTAGAGATTTATTGTTCCCCAAGAACATTCTAGATGATCTCGAGTTATGATCTCGAAGAGAAAAAGGAAATTCAGTTGTTACTGCCAAGCTTTCGACCTATTTTGAGGTCATCATCAGTGCATACATTCTTCAAGACTTGGTCCAGAATGTTCGCGAGTGAAAAAACTGGTCGATACTTCTAACATTGAAAACAGAAAATTTATTCTTCCGCTACACGATACTTTCACTTTATATTATAGTATAATTTTAATACATTTAAGAAGCAACAAAATTTTAAGTTATGCATTGTACAATGAAAAACCCCTATTCCGTGGAAAATGCGAAACAGGGTGTAATATTTTTTTAAAATATGATAATTGCCATTTAATTTAACATATCTTCGACAAAAGTTTTATTATGGACTATTCTGTATTTTAGGAGTGCCAAGGATTAATGGAAACCAACCGCAAGCTGAAGGCAAGCAGTGCCAGTCTAGACGCCAGCTTACTCCAGACGCAGATCGACACACTGCAGTGGCAGTTGAAACAGGTGAGTGAATTTAAAGATTTTTCCAATGCCCCTTCGGATAACAAATTGTAACCATTGTCCCACTTTTATCTCTAATGTTTTGGAGTTCGTTTTCCTTCTGTATCTCAAGAGAAGATAAGCCTTTTGTTTTGGATCCTCGACCTCCCTTAATCCAACCGCTTAACCCATTGAATAGACTATCCATCCACCTGCGCTCGTTCTATTTCTGTCTTGTTGATTCTGTCCCTTTATCTATACATTCGTCATCCCAATTTAACCAGGCGGATAATAAAATATCGATAGTTGAAATACACAACTAGTTCGTAACTGTACTTCGTTACATTTTCTTATTTTCTTTTTTCTTTTTAAATTGCCCTGTTCTAAATTAGAAACGAACGCTAAATGTGAAGTTGCCTAGATCTTTCCTCAAGAATTGTAGCCTTGGCTTGTACTTTTCCTAGTTTCTTAGTTCAGTTTGACTTGATTCTCCTTTCAACAAGTAGAAGGTCATTGTTATACCTACAATTTTCTGGAATTTCCTGGTACTCTAAGTTATATCTTCATTGGTTGGCATTCGAAGATAATTCCACCTCATTTCAAACTTCAAATTGGTTCAAGATTAAATATACCCATGGTGTATAGGTATTTTCCCAAGTTTCAGTTGTATTTAGTCCTACAAACCCCTGACTTTTATCCTGTTGGGGTCATTAGTGTGTTTACCAGTTTTGTCGTTAATAGTGAATTTACTGGCACCTTTAGAGTTCGTCCATTTTTCCTTTTGTTTTTTTGGACATTCTGCGATGAAGTCTATATTTGATCTTATTATTCCAGTTGGTTCTGGACATATAATTTGTCTTGCAGACCCTCTGGTCAGCTTGTCTGTTTTCCATTACCTAGAACAACTTTGTCTCTTTGCACCCATTATCTTGTCATGTTGCGTTTACCGAGTTTTTGGAGATTTCGAATGCATTCACTGTCTATTTCATGTGTGACTTTTTGATTGCTTTTATGGTTACTTGGCCGCTGATGCTATGAGAACTTTTGCCTCAATGTAACCTCTTTTATGATTTTGCATTAATTGTAATTCAGTTTGAAGTCCTTCTGTTAGACGTAGTACACCTAAACAGACAACTCAAATGCATCAATAATAATAAACAAATCGAATAATTTATTGCTTTTATTGCTGGTGCAATGATTGAAGTAAAGCTGTAAATAATTGAAACCTGAACAAAAATAAACTATATTATGTACATGATTATGATGATTATATGAATTGGTAATATTTATAAACCCCACCCTTCTATAGCAATGTATTTACCAGTTTTGCCTTTATTTACTTAAATTAAGGTATGTTTTGGCTATAGTCACAACTTTACCACGTCTGGCACCTCAGAGTTCGTCCATTTCTCGTTTTGTTTTTTGGGTAAACCAGTTTTAAGATAGAGCAGCTTTATCTGGTTATCTCAATTGAAGCTTCTGGGCCTTGGGTCTTGCAGTTTGCCCGCTTATGTACTAAAAATTCCTTTATGCCTTGGCACCCAAGATTTTGTTGCATTGTTAAGTTTTCCCAGGCTTTATGTATTTTCTGACTATTTTGGCCTAGTAGTGGTTTAGGGCCTCTTGTCTCATCGTATATTCATGTTTTGTTAATCCTCTTTTAAGATTTTCTATGACGAAAGCATAAATAGAATGTATTTCAACTTGAAAAACCTAGGAAAAATACGAAGGACTTTCTTAATGAGTTTTGGTATGGTATGGTGATAAGGATACCAGGAAGTGGGGTTTGTACTCCCCAGGCACTGCAGCCTTCTGGCTTGTACCTTCCTAGTTCCTTAGTTCAGTGCAATAGACTCAATCCTTCTCCTTAGAAGAATCATGTCATTACTCATTGACTGTCGCTGTTACAATTTCATTTCCTAAGTTTTTTCGTATGTTAAGTTGAATCACCATTGAGCTGTTGCTTCGCAATTCGCATTCGAAAATGGGTGGCTGTTTCCTCCTCCTCGTTGCATAATCTGCAGATGGATCATCGTTGTATATGCCCATGTTTTCTCAGATGCCAGTGACCGGTTAGTAGTCCTATCACTCCTCTGAGTTTCAGTTTTGGTGAGGATTGGTTCATCATAAGTTTACTATGTCTAGCACCGCTAGAGTTTATCCACTTCTTGTTTGTTTTGTTTGGATCCATTCTGCAAAGGAGGATTCTTTATTTGTTTTTGTTATCCCAAGAATAGGTTCGGGGCCTATGTATGATCTTGCGGATCCTCCTCTGCCCAGTCTGTCTGCTTTTTTCGTTACCCAAAATTCCTCTGTGCCCTGGCACCCAAGATATCATCAGGTTGCTACGATTCCCCAGGTTTGAGATTTTGGATGCATTCACTGTCTAATTTTGATTAATTCTTTTACATGCTAATGCTTTGGCTGCTAATGGCTATCAGATCTTATGAGGATTTTTTGGCCAGTGTAACCTCTTTAAGATTTTCCAGGGCACAAGCATTGATGGCATGTATTTCTGCTTGAAAGACCGGTGTACTTCCCTAATGAGTTTGAGTGCTCATGTTTTGGGCTTGTACATAAAACGCCCGATCCGGTTCCTTCGTTTGTTTTGGGGCCATCTGTACACCATATCATTGCTCTCTTGTGTTCTTCCTCTCCTTTATAGTCCGTTGAATCTTTATAGGATGTTGTGAAGAATGTTTCCGGGATCATATAGTCAGTCCCCATTTCTAAGAATGGGTGTCTGATTTTGTTAATTATGGTTGTACGCCCGAATTGTTAGTTCCTATCCAATTTGACTGTTTCTGTAGCGTAAATGAGCTTTTCCTAGCTCCCCTAAAGCTACCCCCTTGTATAAAATTTCCAATGGAGGTAGGCTTAGCAAAGTTTCTAGTGCACTTGTAGGGGTTGTTCTCATTGCCTCTGTGATGCATAGGTTTGCTAGTCTTTGTACGCTGCCTAATGTTTGAGTAGCTGCTTTTTGTTGAGCTTTGGTCCACCAGATTAATGATCCATAGGCTCTTAATGAGTTTTTCTGGGTCATATTTTTGATTGCACAGAATCTACATTACTTCCCTGGATTCGGAGCCCAAAAAATTGTGTTTTTATTTTCTCTGGATTTTCTTCATTTTTGTAGTCCATTAAAAATTTGTAGGATGTTGCAAGGCCATCTAGAAAAAACAATCCTTTTATCCCTATAAATCGGATAAAAACATGGATGTCAATATCTAAATATTTATCAAAATATTTAGAAAAATGTATAAAAAACATATACAAATCGGTTTCCCCCCGCAGAAACAAGTCTTATTTGATATTACTGACTTTATATCCAAAGAATGAATTTTCATGGACATAAAGAAGGAATTTGATTCCTTAATAAAAAATGTAATAGAAATTGGATCCAACAGGTTCCAGGAAAACTAATTTAGGTTATACATTAGCCCCTTAAAAACCATCAACAGTGGAGTTCCACAAGGTACAGCGCTGGATCCTATTTTCTTTGTACTTTATTGTCGTTCACTAGTTGAAAACCTTTAGTTCTACTTACAAACTCTTTTTCAGTTATCCGGATCTCGAACCCTAAAATTTGCGTCGGACTTGTAGATTTTTCTTGTAGATTTGACAACATTTGAGGACAAAATCCGGATAACACAACACTCCACTTAACTACTTTTGTAAATGACCTTCTGAAACTAAAAATTTCAAGCAAAATGTTTAGTTAAGCTGATGACACAACTATTTTTTATCTGGAAAACAGTTAAACAAAATTGTAGATACCATTAATAGAGAATTCCCTTTTTCCAATATTAAAAATAACTGTACGACCTACGTACCCTTAACCTGTAAACTCTAATGCTGTGTTCTCTCTCAGAACTTTCCCAAACTGAAATGATCATAAAATCATATTAATCTTCTTACACTTTAAATTGCACATGTAAGCTTTCTAGGTCCCAACCTCCGTAACCCCACCAACTTGACCACCGCAATCCCCTTGACGCTGAAAATGCAATAAAAAACCTGATTAAAGTTGTAGCGTCGGTCGTATCAAGGGCACTACGATAGGTGGCCCTAGGAGGATTTGATTAGAAGAAGCTGTCATTCACATTCTATTAATGATAGGCCATGAGAGGTTAACACAAGGACACTTAGTTTTGGGCTAAAGCCCGCGTATGTACCCGGCAAGCAGAGAAAGGTTGCTCGATGTGTCCCACCTAATTGAAGGGTGCGCTCCATACAGAGAGCGCGCAGGAATGCCGCCTGTTATGAGAATTGTGCTTGAGCTCGGAAGCGAATATTTGGGTCTCCTGTTCCGATTCTTTGAGGAAAAAGTATAGTTCTATTATATATAATACTGATAGTTTTGAGTCCCTAGCGTGTTGAGAGTAAATGTATTGATTGGCGTTTATGCTCTTCGACTGTTGATTCTATCCGACTTTTCTCGTATCCAACCAAGTGCTTTTTCATCCTCCGTCTGGCTGACTGCTTTTCCAATAATCCCCTTTTATATTGGTTTCCCAACAAGGGTGGAAGGATGGAAAAAACAAAATCCATTGGGTCTAATGTTCAACGTCCTTCTTGCAACGGTTGGTCATGACCTCGCAATACCTCGTAATTCTTTGGGTGATTCCATTTACGCAATCCCTGGTTTTTGTCGATGTTCGATTCTTGGAAGAAACAGGGTTGTTTCATTGCATAGTGCTGACAGATTTATGTCCCAAGTGTTGAGAGTGAATGCATTTATTGCCGTGAATGTATAGAGTGAGAGGGCCGATGGTGGAATAGTACAATTAGGTTAGTTAAGGTGATAATAGGTGTAAAGGATGATGGAGGAATATCGAGTACTTCACCACTCTGAATCTATTCTGACATATGGGATTACTTCTTGGGAAGGACATCTACACATATAGCAAAACCATTAGTAGTCACACAAAAGCGATTAAGAAACAACATAAATCTATTTTATTTATTTTTCACAAAGTCGGATTTTAAGTAAGAAAGTTTGGCCAAGTAGTAATTATAGTCTT